CTCCCCCCCCCCCCCCCCCCACCCACAAAAAAAAAAAAAAAAAAAAAAAAAAAAAACATTCTGCTTTTCAACATGCTAATGCAGGAAATCCACAACAGAAGGTAGATATCACTTATTGGTAACCATTAGGAGGCAAGCACAGCCATTGTTTGACACATATAAAAGCCAATGGTAACTTTTACTGGAGCATCAGATAGGTCTTGTTTGTTTTTCCCTAGCACACTTCATAAGCAAATTAAAAATTAAAATGGCATGCACCATAAAAATAGAACAGGCAAAATATATAAAAATAGGACCCTGACACTTCGTAGTGGGCTATTTTAATCCTAGAGTCTATAGAAGTAACAATTTAGTCCCCAAACTCTTTTAATGGAGGCTAAATAAATCCTCCGGGCGGACTATTATTAAAAGAATGAGGGGACTAATTTGATGCTTATATAGACTCTAGGATAAAAATGACACATGTGAATAGTTAGGAGATTATTTTGACATTTTACTTGGAAGAATTATACGAAAACTAGAAAGAATAATAAAATTCTAGTAGCCTGATTGATATTTATCTAAGGAAAAAAGTCAGAGAAAACCTCAAGGCCAAACCCCCTCCAGTCCCGATCAATCTGAGCGAGCACATTATCATCTTCATCCTTTAGAGTGAAGGTCCAGTTCCAAAGACCAGGGTTTTCAACCACAGCAAACTGTTTATTCCTAAATCACAAAAAGGAATTACTCTTTAAAAGTTTGATAAAACCTACTCAAAATAATAAGTAGAAAATAGATAAAGATTTAAACCATTACAGAAACTTCAAAAAGCAGCAATGGGTACTCTAATATGTATCTTAAGCATTTGACAGCAATGCAAGGAAATACTTAGAGCAACACTAATAAGTAAAAAGCTGCCTACTAATTTGAATTTGTGACACAAATATTCTCAGGTAATTAATGCTTGATTATAAACTTTATTATGTTCAGTTTCTAAGATGTGTCTCAAGGAAAGTAAAGATGAAACCAGAGTGACTATCAGTAATTAAACTCTTTTCAACTACCGCAAACAGCAGACAACCGAATCACCCAGAAGTTAATAACAATGAATCCAAAGTTTTGTGTTCAAACTAGTATTTTCAGGAGTGAATTTATACATTTTCACATAAAGAAAACCCAAAATATGTAAAAAAAAAAAAAGACGATTTTTACATACATACCACTTAATTCCTATGAAAATCTAACCTCTTTTTTTTACATTTACATACCACCTTACCTATGCATGAAAAGGTGCATTTCACTTTTTAAAAGTTAAAATGGTGGTATTTTTTTATGTGATATGAAAGATTTGCGTGGTATCAATTTAAAAATTAAAGTTTAGGTGTTAGATATGTATATACATAGGAATTGGGTGGTATGTATGTAAATGCTCCCCAGAAAAAAAATAAAAAAATAAACAAAAATAAAAAAAATAAAAAAACCTGAAATATGTATTTCATAGTCCAGAGTTTCGTGAACAGCATAAATAACCAAAACATTTATGTACACAAGGATACAGATTGCCAAAGATACCATAGGTAAGTGAATGAACGAACCTTCTGATCCTAGTACTCAGATGCTTCTTCCACAAAGGACCAGAGAGTAAGAAAATGATATTTTTTCAAGTATATGTCGGCACTTAAAAGAGAGGTTGTGTTTGGGGGTGTCGCCCGTAAGAAGCTGTCGGCAACCGGAATCGAAATCCCGTCGCACAGTTCGGAAGGACGTTTTAATTTATGTATATATATATATA